TTTTTTTCGAATTTTCGGAGAACGGATGACGCTACGAGTCTCATACTCTAAAACTATAATTCTTAAGCCTAGCACAACTCAGAACAAAAAGATCTCGGTTGGAACAAGAAAGGAAGCATGTGTTTACTCTTGACGTCGAGTACTGTCAAATCGATTTTTTTACGAATTTTCGAAGAACGAATGATCTTATGAATCTCATACTCTAGAACTATAATTCTTAAGCCTAGAACAACTCAGAACAAAAAGATCTCGGTTGGAACAAGAAAGATAGTATAAGTTTACTCTTGGTCCGATAGACTGTTTGTCAAAAAACTTTTTTTTAATTTTTCGGGCTTATAATTAAACTTATTGATTTGTGCTTTTGGAACAATGTTTGGAACAACTAGAACAATCTATGTCGGTATCGGAATGTTTTATTTTCAAAAAATGGGGTGCCAGGTCAAAAACATTTTTTTCATTTTTTGGACTTAGAATTCCACTTACGGATTTGTCCTTTTGGAACAATGTTTGGAACAACTAGAACAATCTATTACGGTATCAGAATGTTCGATTTTCGAAAAGTGAGGTGCCAGCTCAAAAAATAATTTTTTTTGTTTTATTCGAAAACCGTTTCGAATGAAGCAATATCACTTTGGAACAATGTGGTACAAAGTCAGAACAATCTGGAACAACTTTCAAAATTATAAATTTCAAAAAGTGGGATGCCAACTTCATACACTCGCTTCTCAATTCCCCTGCGATTGATAATTTCCCGTCGTATGCTCTGGTCGTATAACGTATTCTCGAACGTACCTCTTCGGGGGTTGTTTCCCGTGCGTCCGCGCATTTGTGGTCTCTTATTGTGCCTGCATCCGCTCGATTTATGAGATACGTGCCGGTCGGTATCGGTAACCGAAAGCTTCCCCCCGGTAAGAGCTATACAGGTAATTTACCTAACACCGTGATGGAGCTGGAGACCAGCATGGCCAGCAGCCAGACCGCGGCGATCTTGAAGCCCACCACTCGTTTCGTGGATGTGTGACGTGTTCTGAGCGGATTGCGAATCCCCAGGTAACGGCCCAGGGAGATGAAGCACATGTGCATTATGCTCGCGGAACACGCGAGCACGTCGCATGTCACATATACGTTGCACCATACCACGCCGAGCGGCCAATATCCTGAAAACTCGTCGAAACGTTGGCGTCAAGTGCGTGTACGGGACAAGTCGTGCTTTCTCAACTCGTTGAATGCCACGACCATCACTATTGGCCGACACCACGATACTTCCATCGTGGCTTGTAGAGTTACATTAAATTGCATGTAAAAATAGACTGATAAGAGCCAACGCGAGTTATAGATTGGAAACAATTTTACAAATTGCTTTCAAGTTCATTGTGGAAGCGACAACGTAATGTAATATGTTTTGAATTTAAAAGATGTTGGCTTGATTAGCTCACAGCTTGCACGTAACATTGCATTGTTTTATTTGTAACATCTCAACTCGAAATGAAAAATCGTATAAAAAATTGTCATATTGAGAATAGCCTACATGGAGAAAATATTGTATAGTTTTTTCTCTTTAGAAATAAATTTTCTTCAAGTTTGCTATATTTCTAGCAACGCGGAAATAGACTGTCAATAAGGTCTGTCTTGCTTACGAACATAGTAAATTTCGCTAGAAACATTTTTTCGTAATATATCTCGGTTTCTAAAATATATAAATAACACATATACAATGAGAGAATAATTACTGCAAAACGTCTATCATTTGGTTATAAAATTCTATATCATAGTTCTATATCTAGTCATAGTTCTTTATTACAAAATTTTTTCTGTGTATATAAAAACCGAAAAATTCATGCATTGTATTATGTTACTACTTTTGCGATAAATTTGAAAGCAGTTTTATTAAATTGTTCTCGACTTGTAATCAACATCAGCTCTTATCGTTTTCACACGATTGCGCATCTGAGCATTATTTAATTACTGAAAAATAATCGATTGCATTTGAAATATCGATTGCATGACCAATAAAGGCCCCGCAAGATAAAAGACGTATACATTTCAGATTACATTTGTCTACCGTGTCTTTGATAATTTAATCAGTAGTCCAGCTTCTGTGCAATCAACGGAAATCAACACAGCAGTTAACGTGTTAACGTTCGTTGTCAATCGCGTTCTTCAATCGCGTTCAATTTATTCAGACAACGAAGTAGAACGGTTCATTTTAAAAAGTATTTTATGTCCGAGGTAGAAATAGGGACGATGTGCGCGCGCCGCACTTTCTTTTACAATTTTGCAACGCACAATTAACAGTTTGGGAGATTATAAATAGGCGATTCAGAAACAGATTTTCCAGTTTGGGGTGACATTCTGCCGCGTCGAGAATTGTAAATATAACTGTAATTACGAGACAGAAGTTACAATTTTATTCCGATAATTGAGATAGTAATTACAGTCGAATTTTTTCCGTATTCAAACGCGCGCGTTGGT